ATGCCAAACAAGTATCCAGTCTTAATGGATATCCAGTTATCAAAGTTTTCTCCTACCAACTCCAAAAGTATTTCATATAAAGTCAAAAGCTCCAAGCCAGAGTTACAATGTTACACATAAAGTCCTCAAACTATCAAAATGCAACAAGTGTGAGTTACAAATTGAGGTTACAGTGTAACACTACTAGTTCCAAAGTTCTCAATATAACAAATTTATATAACAGATCAACAACTGGAAGTTACGCAGCAACATGTATCCTAGGTGTATAAATGTGTTTCCGTCCTCTTTTTCAAAGCCGCGTCTCCCTTCCATTGTGGAGAGCAAAATTCAAGTCAGAACCAACGCGCTAGGAAATCTCTTTCAACCAGTAGCCTCCCGGCTATCAAGCACTTCAGTGCAGCATATCAGTCTGATTGCTCTGAACTTACGCTGATGAGACCAGGAGAGGTTTGAAGGGGGGAAAAAACAATCCCCAAGTAGCAGAAATTCCTGACTCGTTCAGTGTTGGAGCTTGATATCGTTCATTTGAAAAGACCCCGATTGGCCATTTTTAGAGAAAACCAAGGTTTTAGATTTGTTGCAGTCTATTTGCAACTCCTCCTTTAGGCAATAGTCTGAGAAACATCTCAGGAGTCTCTTCAGGCGAATCTTGGTGAGGGAGATAGGAACTGAGTCATTGGCATACAGCAGCAAGGGTATTTCTTTCAAAGCTAATCTGGGGGCATGGAATTCTGGAGAAGAAAGGTGCAACGTCAGGTCATTCAGATATATATTTGAAAGAAGAGGAGCGAGCAGACAACCTTGCCTCACAACCTCTCTGAGAGTTGTCCCTCACCATCACAGCAGACCTGGGCAGTGGTATTGATGTAAAGGGTCTTGATTAGCCATAGTAGTCCTTTATCAATGGATAGGGCCCACCAGTTCATCCCATAACTTGCTTCGGCTGACTGAATCGAATGCTCCCTTAAGGTCCATAAAGACCATGTAAAGCTTCCGGTCGGGACTAGCTGTATATCAAAAGCCCAAGAGAACTAAGCATGCTCCCTGTACTCCAGCAGACACTGCTGAGGGTAGATAAAGGGAGTGAAACAAAGTGGGGGACAGACTGAGCCCTTAATAGTATCCTGGAGGGGAAAATTAGAGTCAGGAGATCCCCTGCCCTGGCCGGCCGAGGGTTACAATAAGCTTTTAAAGGGATCTGACCCCCTCTGAAGCTAAACATGATGTTTGGGGAAAGGGATTAATTAGGATAAGAAGACAAATGCTTCCTTCAATCCTAGTTCATCTTGCCCTCGTGGATTCTACATACAGAATCCATAAGAGCTCACAGCATACCGCAATGGGAAAAGGCAATTAAGAGTGGGGGGCCTGCATGTGCTGAGAAGCAAGCATTCCTCAATCCAAATCCCCCTCCCCTCCAAGCATTCCTCAATCCAAATCCCCTTCCTTACAAAAGTCGCTAATGCAGCATAAGAACAGAAGAAGAGCCCTGCTGGATCAGACCAATGGTCTACTTTTCTCCCTTTCTCACAATACAAGAACTCGTGGGCACTCCATGAAATTGCTGAGCAGTCGGGTTAGAACGGATAAAAGGAAGTACTTCTTCACCCAAAGAGTGATTAACACTTGGAATTCACGGCCACGGGAAGTGGTGGCGGCTACAAGTATGGACGGCTTCAAAAGGGAGTTAGATAAGCAGAGCAGAGGTCCATCAGTGGCTATTAGCCACAAGGTATAGATAGGGGCTCTGGGGCAAGTGATGCTCTGTCTTCTTGGTGCTTGGGGGTGGGTCAACAGTGGGAGGGCTTCTAGTGTCCTGGCCCCACTGGTGGACCTCCTGATGGCACCTGGTATTTCTTGCCACTGTGTGATGCAGAGTGTTGGACTGGATGGGCCTTTGGCCTGATCCAACATTGGCGTCTCTTATGTTCTTATGTTCTTAGTCCAGCATCCTGTCCCACACTTGTCCCAGACTCTTCAGCCTTTCCTCACAGGGAAGGGGCTCCAACCCCCTCATCATCTTGGTTGCCCTCCTCGGTACTTTTTCCAGCTCTGCAGTGTCTTTTTTGAGATATGGTGACCAGAATTGTACACAGTATTCCAAATGAGGCAGCACCACAGACCTCTACAGGGGCATTGCAATATTGGACATTTTATTTTCAGTCCTTTTCCTAATAATCCCTAACACAGAGTTTGCCTTTTCTGTTGCTGCAGCACATGCAAGGGTTCAGAAGGGTAAAAACATTGCCGTCTGGAGATGCACCGTGCAGGACCAGAGTTAAATAATCGATTTCCTGATCAACTGACCCTGACCTTTGGCAGCCAGGGCAACTGAGCAGCAGAGCTCAAGGGCTGAGTTCAGGACAAAGCATCCCAGAGCAGGGGTAGGGAGTAGAGGGCAAGGAATGTCCCTAACTATTTATCTCCGCCACCTGCATAATTTGTCACAAGTCACCGTGTCAAGAAATGCTCTGTTCCACTTTCTGGGGTCAGTCTATGAGACCAGCCAGGTTTTAGTTTTGTCCATGAAATGCTGTTAGAGTGATTCTCAGTTCTTCAATTACACAGAGGTGCCAACTAGATTTCTTAGGCCTGGTATAAAATTTGCACCCCTTCACCACTTTCTGCTCAACAGACGGTGAGCGTGATCTTTGTAACGAACACACGCACAGCCATGGAAGAGTGGCGATAAATAAGAATGTGGCTGGCTGCCTAGACACACAAATTTCTACGGGATGGGCAAAGACAGAAGACTTTAAAAAATAGAGCCATACCTTAGCATTTCAGGTTCAGCTTCCACAAGTTGCAACACTGTCCTTCTACTAAAACACGTGAAAGCAATGCTGGGAATATTTTTGTCTGCATTGTGGGTGTTTAACAAAATAATTAATGTGGTTGAGATGCAGAATTTAAACATGGGAAGTTATCGCTGGAATCGTGGCTTCCAGAAATGAGCCTACTTAATTCAAATTATGCCGTGTGCATGCATTCTTGTGAATACGTGTGATGTTTTGTGCAGCCATCATGGAAACATGGGAATTTCCAAAAGAATTTTCAGATTATTTGGGTGAAAGCATTGCTACCCAAGGAAGGCTAGAATCCATTCCCTAATGCAAGGCTATTCCCCCCTCCAAGTAAATGTAAAAAAAAAAAAAGGTTTATATCCAACACCAGCTGGCATCAGCAAAAACAAAGTCTTAAAAATACATTTCCCCAGATCAAATCCAAAATAGTCCTCTTGAATTACATAGTGCTTATGCAAATTATTTATGTGCCGTTGTCCCCAGTTTGAAGGGTTTTGGGCAGTATTTCTCTTGGGGCCAATCGTTCCAGAGCTTTGCAATAACTTCTCCGTCTTTATTGCCACCCTGCGATTTGCGCAAATCAAAAGCAATCTCCTGGCTTTTGAATAATGAATGGTAAATAATAAAGACTTTCATTACCCTATGATGGCTTATTTTCTGGCTCAGTACCAAACGGGCTTGTCAGGCAACGAATACGAAAATGACGACTGTTTTCAAGGAAGGCTCAGTCAGAGGTTTAGATGGATTAAGGTTTGCTTCGGAAATAAAAGTCAAGAGGAAGAGCAAACTCGGAATCCAGTCTCGTCGGCGATATGAGTCCTAAAAGAAGAGCTACACAGTACAGCTGCCTCCTGCCATGCATGAGAGGCATAGATATTAAACTCTCACGACAGTGCAACCACGTGGATGGGTGTTTTTATTTCTGAACTGGTATCGGAACGTCATTTGAGTAGCAAAAGGTGAGGGCACTTCATCACAGCACACCAAACCACTACAGAACGGAACTCCCCGAAACCCCGAAGACCAAGAACTCAGATAACACTCGAGGGCTATACACATCTCTTGCATGGGCCAAGGATTTTGTCTTCAAAGAAAATCCCCAAGCCGAATGGAAACGCAGAAATCCACACTCAGAAATCCACATGCATACGAGCAGGGCAAACTAGGTGAGAATCTACGGTTTGCGAACTTCCAGATGGAGCAGGGGGAAAGCAAACGCCCTACCTTGAACAATTCAAACTCCCTCTTTGGCATCAACAGCTATTCAACGTGTGACAAGCATTGACGATTGAAATGAAAGAGCACAAGCAAATGTTAGACTGCAGATTGGCAGCAGCACTGAAAGGGATGGTGGAAAAAAAACCACCGTCAACGAGCCGGGGTTGGGAAGGAACAGACTCTGCTCCATGTCGGGAAAAGAAAAAAAAATCAGTTCAGCTTATTAAATTAAGGTGGTGTGTGTCTATTTCACACTGCCATTTCAACCCCCCCCCCTTTTTTGCAAGCAAAACTACTGTTCACCCTGGCATAGATGGCCCAGGCTAGCTTGATCTCAGAAGCTAAGCTGGGTCGACCCTGGTTAGTACTTGGATGGGAGACCACCAAGGAAGTCCAGGGTTGCCATGCAGGGGCACGCAATGGCAAAGCACCTCTGAACGTCTCATGCCTTGAAAGCCCTGTATCGCAGTCTTAAATCAACTGCAACTTGACAGAACTTTCCACCACCAAATGGTTGTTCACACAATACCATTTTGCAGACAAAGATGGATCAGGAGTGAGTCCCTGGGCTGGATTTTTTTCTACAGCTTTAGCCTCATTGGCTGCTTCTTGACAAATCCCAGTAGACTTTGCATCAGGAGTCAAAAGTTTCCTCTAGAGTGGGACTGATGCTTTAGAATTTCCAGGGTGTGGTCTTCGTGCCTGGCTCCCCTCCATCCTTGCCTGATTGGCTCAAACCACTTCCTCACCTCCTAGACAGCTAGAACTGTTCCCACTAAGACTGATTCCTAGTTTCCCCTCACTTTACAGGAATTAGCAGAGGGTTGGGCTTTAGTCCCCGTGAACAGCACTTGCTTGTAGCTCCGGGACCAAATGAGCCTTCGGGGTAGGGCGGGATATAGTAAATCCAAGGATAAATAAATAAATAAATCCTGTCCTTTCCCTCCAGTCTCCAAATTTCTCAAGAACTGCAGGTACCTGTATAGTGTGCGTGTAGGACGGTTCCGTGCAGCCCAGTTCCTGAGTTCTCAGAGGCTCCAAGATGTTGTTTGGCACAAATCCTGCAACTCCACTTGCGTTCTGGACTTTCCACCATTGCTTTCGGTCGTCGAGGATCTGAAGTAAAAGAAAAACGGTGTTGCAAGAAAACCGTCCCGAGTCAGCTGAGAACCACTACAGAGGTTACATATCTGCATGTTAAACCCATGAAGCTGCCTTACACTGAGTCACACTATTGGTTTATCCGCACTCCTGACCACTACACTGAACTGGAAGAGGGGGAAATCACGTGAGTTCCCTGAGATCTTTGGTGTCCGGGAGCTATGAAAATGTAATCATTAATAATGAACCTTTTATACTGGAGTTCAGGTCTCCTACCAAATGTCCCGGGGAACAGAAACGTTGTTCACACTAGTTGTCATATTACCATTTTCAATCTTCAGCTTGTGGCCCTTGGCTCTATGGCACAGATACTGATGTGTTCCGACTGCGTTAATGGCAGAAGGGCAGTGGTGGCAAGTGAGGGCATCTCTCGCGGTGAAAGATACGCAGGTAGGTGAAGCTGCAAGAAATGCTTGTGGTTTCCCCTGCAACAGACAAACAGGCCTACCCCTCTGGAATCTGTCACCATGTTTCCCTAGCCCTGCTTTTAAAAAAATAAAATAAATTAAAATCAAAGGCAGTTAATGCCCCTCCCCAGTGATTTTCAAAAGGTTCTCTCTTCAGGAAAATTCTCCCTGTTTATATTTTTAAACAGAGACACTAATGAACTAGTTTGCAGACAATGCTTACGCATCTGCTGAAGGATCCCTGCAAGTTGTGAAGGGTTCTGGGATGCCATTCAACACTCCATGAAATTGCTGAGCGGTCGGGTTAGAACGGATAAAAGGAAGTCCTTCTTCACCCAAAGAGTGATTAACACTTGGAATTCACGGCCACAGGAAGTGGTGGCGGCTACAAGCATGGACGGCTTCAAAAGGGAATTAGATAAGCATATGGAGCAGAGGTCCATCAGTGGCTATTAGCCACAAGGTATAGATAGGGGCTCTGGGGCAAGTGATGCTCTGTCTTCTTGGTGCTTGGGGGGGGGGGGTCAACAGTGGGAGGGCTTCTAATGTCCTGGCCCCACTGGTGGACCTCCTGATGGCACCTGGTATTTCTGGCCATTGTGTGATACAGAGTGTTGGACTGGAGGGGTCTTTGGCCTGATCCAACATTGGCATCTTTTATGTTCTTATGTTCCATACCAGTCCACATGAGGGAACGGCCAGACCTGCTTGATCTTGGTTGACAGGGCCATCGGTAGACTAAACACTCTTTCTGCAGCCTGAGAACCATGTTAGCCATTGGTGATCTTGTCACTAAAGCGCTTCTAATGGGCTTCCAAGGAACCTCAACATTGCTGGGACTACAATTTGAAAATGCCGGGTCTCAAAACACCAGCTAACCAGCCGACAGCCGGAGTGGAGGGCAAGTTCCACATACTCTTGGTTTCTGAATGCTTCCGAAGAAACAAGCAACGGAACCGATCACATTCGACAAGAATTTTCCTAGGCCACACCAAATGCCTTCAGAGCGTGCTCTCCAAGGAGTGTGACAATGACAACAGAAAGCATTGGGGGTGGGGGGTGGGGGATCCACCAAAACAAGCATGTCATTACCTCTAAGATGTCATCCTTCATGACCGAAAGTTCACTGTGATTTCTTGCCACAAAGTCATACTTGGTTTTGGCATATTTCTTGGTCTGGGCTTTCGCGTGCGCCTCGTAATTTCTACAAGGTAAACAGGTCAAACATTATTCAGCTCGGTTGGCAGCGAGGCATCCCGGCGAAGAGCGAGGGAGGAAGCAAGTGCCACCCGCCTGCCAGCAAATATAATTAGGGGTGCTGATTGGTCCAGTATTTATGACCACACGAGGCAGGCAGCCATCCATCACAACAGCGGGACTTGGCAAGGGGTGGTGGCGGGCAGCACAATTCACTATTAGAGTTAGACGAAGTTCAGGCTGGCACATGCGCATGCTGCAGCATGGGATGGAAGAATTTATGGGGTGAGCAGGTCTCACAGGTTTTGCAAAAGGGCATGCAGATGCCAGGTTCGGATTTAAATCAGCTCTGTTGGGGACAGTCGTATTGAACTTCCCAACTTTGTGCTCTCGTGCAAATTGAAATACACGAGAAATACATCACGATTTGCCCCCAGTTTACAAAAGGCATCCAACAGGACAAAAAACGTTGCCCTTTCTGGAAGCATTAGGGGAGTTTTCCAAACTCTAGTATACCCCCCGACCTTCCCCAGGTTCTATCTGGGAGAGAAAAAGATCCACTCAAGGTTTTTCACTAACAAAGCAGGCAGTTTTATTAAGAATTAACATTCTGGTGCAAGCAAGAACAGATCATGCTAGCATACTGAACAAGATTCAAAGTTCTTTCTTTATAGGATAAAACAGGACAAAAGGTCAGGGTCTGGTATTCTGAAAAGAATTCATTGATTCTGTTCTCAAGCATAATTCACTCCGCTTTCTGTTTAGAGTACATCCTATGTTCCTAAGAGGGGCAGGAGGAAAACAAACCGTCTATACTTTCCCCTGAAAGATAAGGATGGCACAGACTAACATGAGGTTGCTGAGAGATCAGGAGGTCAAAGAATAGATTTGGGGGGGGGGGGCATTAGGGAGGAATATAGCATCTTAAAAATGTAGCAAGCCAACATAGGCTCACAATTTAGAAGCCATTATAAGAATCTCAATCTTACTTGCCAGTGTAACTTTCAAGCTATATGTAGAATTCCTTAACAGGAGGTATTCCACTACTTCAGGCTTCTTATTTGTTAAGATTTATTAGCTTAATACACTATTTTCTAGGGCTTGAGGAATGGGTGTGTCCATCAGTATGCAAATACTGCCATAAAATACCTTAACAAAGATCAGATCAAATTGACTTGTATGTCGATACTTTAATCAGGTTACCAAAGCAGGCCAGAATTCCTCCCCCCACGTTAGATATGAGACTTTCAGCCATTCTCTGGGTATCTGTACCTAACTGGCCATTTCGTTAAGTGCCTTGGGGCAAGGAATTGTCATCATGTATGAATGGACAACAGTGCATATATAGTATTTAGAGGCAGGATGATGCTTAGGGTTTTGTTATTCTAGTATTAAATGGCATCTGCCCCAAAACCTCAGGGATAAGAAGGATTTTTAAAAATGTCATTTCAAACAAAACAGGACTATAAAGAAGAGATACGACAAGCATAAAAGGAAGTTTGCAAATTAACACATGGGGGCCAAAAACCGGAAACTTCAAAATACAGCATGTTGACATCACATCACACACAGACAAGCATGTACTTCTCGGGACTGAATCCACCTGAGCATGCTGCATGGGTGCTCAAGTAGCTATCTAGCTTTTGACCAGCTGTGGAGAACTGTCCCAAATTGACTTGAAGAGAAGAGCGAAAGGAGACCAAAGAACTCCCACTGACCGACCCTCAGTGATCCAAAATGCCTGGTGGTCTTACTTCCTTCCAATAGCCAATACCCCCTGCCCCCCGGTGAACCAATGTTCCCATTTTTTCCATGTTCCCGTCCCCCCCCCCAGCCCTTTGGTAATTGGTATCCTGCATCTTTCTCCATCTTTTCTGCACCCCCTCCCCATTTGGATAAATGAGGTTCGCAGTATCAAGGTCTGAGATTGACGTGCTTGAAGGGACACACAACTGAAAGCAATTAGCACACCTCAGTGGGGCGAGAAGAACACACGCAGCAGGAGAGCCAGGGCTCAAACCAATCGAGGGAGATATCAGCTTTCCTTCTGCGCTCTTGTTGAATCATTCATCTCACACGTTGTGCTGGGGACTCGGGGAGAGAAACCGCGTAGTTCCTAATTATCTGACAACCTGGTGGGTCTTCGCAACTGGGGTGTGTGTGTGTGTGAGCTGTTTATGTCAGGTGAGAAGTTGTCCGTGAGGTACCTCAGCCTGGGATGTAATGTCAGGACAGCAAAAAAAAAAAAATGCAACAAGCCAGGGAAGATTTACTCTAGGACTCTACAGGCGTGGGAGCGATTGCTAATCTGGAGCACTCAGTCATAGAACTCTGAGGTTCCTTAGAGTGCTCACGCAGGAGTAACTCTTACAACCATAAGAAGTTTAATACCAGGAGACGGGAAGTACCTTATACTGAATAAGAACACTGGTCCATCAAAGTCAGTATCGCCTACTCAGTGAGCAGTGACTCACGAGAGCTCATCCCCTGACACGTATTTTGTTAGTCCTTAGGGTGCTACTGGACGCTTGCTCTTTTCTGCTGCTACGGACAGACTAACACGGCTACCCACCTTGATCGTTGCAGAATAGAAAGAAAGCCGTGTGTTTATTTCCGGCTCCCTCCCAAGCGTTATCTGCACCAAGTCCTAGAAAAATCCATAGACTAGGGACCTCGTCTTGCATTACTCTAAGCCAGTTAACAGCCACTTCCCTGTTGCAAAACCCCACATTAAGCATCTCAATTCCGGACCCATGTAAGCTAGGCCAACTGAATGGCTCTTTCCTGTCTGCTGGGAACACCTTGCCAAGCAGGACCCAGAACGTAGACCTGGTAGGCCAGAGCCTCACATGGGATAAACAGCTCCCGTGCTCCCCCCCCCCCCGAAGAAATGTGAGAAGGGCACCTTTAATGAACACAGGAGAAAGCAAGGCAGGGGCTGGGGAGAAGCAAGAATGGAGAAATACATATATATAATCTCTTTGAATGAAAGTGATAGTAAGTCCTTCAGATTTGGCTGTAAACAAGGGAATTAGCTGTCCACCAGTGAAAGAAAGACCCAGGCTCCAATTCAGCACTTTAGAATTCAATTTTCCATAATATTTGGAAAGCAAACATTGACAGCAGTGTGTTTAAACAGAACCACTCAGAGGCTTTGGTGTGTGGGGGGAAACCAGAGTGAAAGAGGTTTCTAACAGCTCTAACACGGAGGAGTGTCTACTAGAATTATCTACAAAGAGAAGTAGGAGCTGTATGCAGAGAAGGCACCTCCACCCTAAAAGCAATCGGCCGGGACAGTTCTCCATAGCTGCACGCAGGAAATTCCACGGAAGTGTTACCTATCTACATGTCGGCTAACAGTTTGTTTAAAAGCAGCTACAGCCGCACCCTGGTCCGGCAGAGGCCCTCTTTTGTAAGCTGTGTTACTGAATGCATACCCATCGGACGGAGGATAATCGGAGATGCTGGAATGCTGGAAGAGAGGAAACAAAAAGAAGGATTCGCTGTCAGTCCCAAAGCAGGCAAACGGCTCTTTCATTCCATAGAATTAACCACTTCTCTAGACAACGGCGCCCGTAGGGGCAATTCCCGCATCCAATATGGAGGAGTCACCAAGAAATCCAGGGGTCCAGCATGGCGAAGTGCCCCCTGACCTGGATGGCCCAGGCTAACCCGTTCTCATCTGATCTCGGAAGCGAATCAGGGTCAGCCCCCGGTTAGTACTTGGACGGGAGACCACCAAGGGAGTCCAAGGCTGCTATGCAGAGGCAGACAAGGGCAAACCAACTCTGAACATCTCTTGCCTTGAAAACCTTACAGGGTTGCTACGAGTTGACTGTGACTTGACAGCGCTTTCCACCACCAGCGGCAAAGCAAGGAGCCCCTGTGAGTGGCTCTGTAAAGGTAAAGGTTTCCCTTGCTCGAAAGCTAGTCGAATCTGACTCTAGGGGACGGTGCTCATCTCCATTTCCAAGCCGAAGAGCCAGCGCTGTCTGAAGATGTTCCCATGGTCATGTGGCCAGCATGACTAAACGCCGAGGCGCACCGAACGCTGTTACCTTCCCACCGAAGTGGTACCTATTTATCTACTTGCAATGTCTTGCTTTCAAACTGCTAAGTTGGCAGGAGCTGGGGCCAGAGACGGGAGCTCACTTCCTCACGTGGCACTCGGGTCTCAAACTGCCGAGCTACTGACCTTCCGGTTGGCAACGCAGCATCTTAACCTCTGAGCCGCCAGAGCCCTTAATATAAGGACATAACTAGGCTACAAATGTATAGAACACTTTAACTGTCATAGCTCTCCACTCAAGAACCCAGAGAACTGTTGTTCGGTGAGGTCCTGAGTATTCCCTGTTTGCCCACCATCCTCACCAGAACTACACTTCCCAGAGTTCCCTTGGAAACCAAGTTTATTCTCATAGTGTACATATGACTGAAGGAAGAGCCCCACCCCATGAGCTCTTTGACTTTTGCAGAATGGTCTGTCTCTTGCCAGCAGCAGACCCTTAGATGAATCCCCTGCACGTGGGGTATCCATGACAGCAAAAGACAGAATTTGCAACTTTCTATGCCCGGGTTTAATTGGGTTTAAATGCTCTTCAGGCATTTGGACTGGATTTGTTGCAGCAAGCCCAGCTGTGCTCTCCGTTGTCCCTGGGTGTCTGTTCTGAAAGACTATTCATAAAGTCATCAAGCTTTATGAGTCCCTACCCAAATCCAGTCACACACAAACTTGCACACTTTAAAAGCACACCGTGCAGAAGGGAATGGTTTTCTCGGTGTGATGTTTCTGTAGCGCACATGATGTTCAAAACAAAAGCATATTCATTGCTATTCCCAGTTCCCCTTTGCATGTGATTTTTTTCAAATAAAGCTGTGATTCACCGCTCATAGACCACACATAAGAGATAAGAATAACCGCTGTCTGAAGATGTTCCCATGGTCATGTGGCCAGTGTGACTAAACGCCAAGGAGCGTGGACCGCTGTTACCTTCCCACCAAAGCTGTACCTATTTATCTACTTGAAATGTCTTGCTTTCGAACTGCTAGGTTGGCAGGAACTGGGGCCAGAGACGGGAGCTCACTCCATCACACGGCACTCGGGTCTCGAACTGCCGAACTACAGACCTTCTGGTCTACCGCACAGTGTCTTAACCTCTGAGCCACCATGGCCCCTGAGCGGCTCTGACACACCTGTACAAATCATGGTTCACCACACTGCAGAAAATAAGGGCCAGAAATTGGGGCTGCAATTTGTACACCAGCGTATCCATAAAGTGGTCATTCCCCACTGCCATTAATTCATGGCTATATGTTATTTCTGAGGGCAGGCGGCTCTGTATAGCTCAGTCTCATCAGATCTCAGAAGCTAAGCAGGGTTGGTACTTGGAACTGAGACCACCAAGGAAGGCTCTGCCGAGGAAGGCCATGGCAAACCACCTCTGCTTCTCACTTGCCTTGAAAGGCCCTATGCTGGGGTCACCATAAGTTGGTTGCAACTTGACGGCATGCACCGTATATGTTATTTCTAGTCCGGGGAGATGGAAGACGGCTCATTTACCCTGCAAACCTAGTGCCCAGGGATGTGCAAGACTGTAAAGAAGGCCACTCCGAAGAACCTCTCCACTCAGTGTGTTTAATCCCTTAATGACTCATGTCTGCATAGAGTTTTAACTTTGATTATGCTGTGCATTTGGCAAATGTAGAGTCACTGGAGACCAAGCCCTGTGAGGACAGGCTGGGGGACTTGGGAATGTTTAGTCTGGAGAAGAGGAGGCTGAGGGGGGACAGGATTGCTCTCTTGAAGGATTTGAAGGGCTGTCACTTAGAGGAGGGCAGGGAGCTGTTCCTCTTGGCAGCAGAGGACAGGACTCGCAATCATGGGTTTAAATTAAGGGCGGGAAGGTACCAGCTGGATCTTAGGAAAAACTTTTATGGTAAGAGTTGTGCAACAGTGGGATCAGCTGCCTCGGGAGGTGGTGAGCTCCCCCTCCCTGGCAGTCTTTCAGCAGCATCTGGACAGACACCGGTCAGGGATGCTCTAGGCCAGTGATGGCGAACCTTTTAGAGACCGAGTGCCCAAACTGCGACCCAAAACCCACTTATTTATCGCAAAGTGCCAACACGGCAATTTAACCTGAATACTGAGGTTTTACTTTAGAAAAAACAACTCATACATTAACTTAAGATGATCCAAACAAAGTAAGGAAAGCAATCCCAAATGCTTTCATTTACTTAAAATTATTTGGCAGATTATTCGACACTTTAATGATGGTCTGGGCCTGGCTGGAGCAATGGCACGCGTGCCCACAGAGAGGGCTCTGAGTGCCACCTCTGGCACCCGTGCCGTAGGTTCGCCACCACTGCTCTAGGTTGATCCTGCATTGAGCAGGGGGCTAGACTAGATGGCCTGTATGGCCCCTTCCAACTCTGTGTGTCTATGACTGCCCAGAAGACCACAGAAGCTAGGCAAAGACCACAGAAGCCTTGCAGTACTGGAAGTGTACCTTTGCCAATGCAGCCCTTCATGAGAATGTGGGCACATGATAATATGATCTATGAGCTGTTAGGTCTGAGTCTCAGTTTAGACGCTCCAAAACCTTTCAAGGGGACTGTCCCCAGGATCTTAACTAATTGGAGAAAGGGGCATTTGACCCAGCATAACTGCAGTGAGAGCGGCTGTTTCGTGGCTCACACGAGGGCAGCAGGTTAAAAAAACACACAACCCCCCCCAAAAAACAGGCTCATGCAAATCGCTGATCCGAATGGCTGTGCTGTTATCAGATGTTACTTCCACAGCATGGCTGTGTCCACGGGCCACACCTCACATGTAGGGCTTTAGAGTATCTGAGTCGGGACACCAAGGGTTGCCTTCCACAACTTTTTTTTGTGTGACTGCCCCTAAGGGCAGAATTTTATTAAATGTTATTACACATTACAATACAGAACTTAATAAACAAACTAACACATAAAACATTAACACATAACATTAATGGGGGTAGTGAGTTTTCATAGATATTACATTAATTATGCCTCGTCGCCAATATTATCTAGATTTATATAGTGTGAGTGGGTCTCATTACAATTTTCTCTTGTTGGGTTAAATCAATATACTTTATCTTGTAAGTCGTTTTTCAATTGTATCTGCCTAAACATAGTTATTGTACCAGCTATAAAAGCGTGTCCAAGTATTCTGGAATGTAGAGTACGAGAGACCTTTGACCAATACAGTCAGTTTATCAATTTCTGCTGCTTCTAGAACTTTGTTTATGTATTCTTGTCTCGTAGGAGTCTCAGGTGTCTTCCAGTATTTACCATATAGGCTTCCACAACTTTTGATCTCCGATGCTACAAAAAGGAACCCGAGATAACAGAAGCCGCCGCAGCTGAGAACTGTGACCCACCGGCTCATGCGCACCAACATGAATGCAGAAACCGATGCGACTCCCATGTGTGCAAAAATGCACAAAATGACCCTTGATATTTGCAACAGAAATTTTCATGATCCTTTCCCTCCTGTAATTATGCCCAATCAGGAAACCAATTAAATATGTGGAAGTGGGGGGGGGGCAGGAACTCACAGAAGATGACGCTGGTACTTTAAAGCCCGGGAAGATATTTTTTTCTGATATCCTTTTTTTTTTTAGACATCATATCAAAACCTTTGTAGCTGGGCTAGACACGGTAACCATGGAAGCAGCAACTATGCCATTAACATTAGGGGGTCTTTTCTTCTGAATTCAGAAAAGGATACCCTAAAGGGAAGAGAAGATCTTGCAGGGAACGAGCTCTGAGCGACACTACATGGGTACTTTCCTGTCACTGGATCATGTCTCTCTCCTGCCTGCTTTCACAACCGGTGACAAATTACAACCGGACACCAGTAGCTTCAGAATCTGATACTGTTTACATGTTTATCTGAGTGTGCTGAGAGCCCTTATAGAGGACATCAAGGGCGAACAGCCCACGCTCTGCATTCCTAGACGCCGCCAATCATGCTGAGTAAATTTCTGTACAGATCGTTTTAAGCACGAATCTGCTCCTGCCTTAATGGGACTGTGAGGATGACTTTTGCTTTCTCTTCCTAGAGCTTCTTCTTTACTCCTAGGCAGGCTGACAATCTACTCTACAGCATTATCATCATCACCATCATCATCATCACCACCACCACCACAACAGCAACAACAACAATAATAATAATAATGAAGTGCCATCAAGTCGCAACCGTCATGATGAGGCCACAATGTTCCACCTCGTGGGGTTTTCAAGGCAAGAGATGGGCAAGAGAGGGTTTGCCATTGCCACCCTCTGCATAACAACCATGGACTTATTAAATTTATACCCCACCATTCCCTCGACAAGTGATTCTCAGGGTGGCATGTGTGTCCTCTGATAAAGCATTCCACCAGGATGGCGCCACCACAGAGAAGGCCCTTGCCCTGGTAGGGGGGAGGCAGGCTGCTTGGGGGGCCAGGCACCGCCAAAAGATTGAGTGATGGAGAGCACAGGCAACATGGGGGATTGGAGAGGACTTCCGTTGGTTATCTCCCATCCAAGTACTAACCATGGCTGACCCTGCTTAGTTTCCGAGCTCTGGCAGGTCTGGGCTATTTAGGCTATTACATAGGACCGTGGCATCCTATTAAAGGTGCATCTAGATGACCTCTTTGCTTCTTGTTCATGAACATTCTTTCTCCCACATCTTCACCAGCAAATCTGCAACTCAAAGCAGTTTTCCAAAAGTAATTAAGAGGCAGGGCTTTTTTGAGAGCCAGCGTGGTGAGCGGCGGACTCTAATCTGGATAATGGGGTTTGATTCCCCACTCCTCCACATGATGTCTGCTGGGTGACCTTGGGCCAGTAACAGCTCTCTTAGAGCTTTCTCAGCCCTACCTACCTCACAGGGTGTCTGTTGTGGGGAGAGGAAGGGAAGGCGATTGTAAGCTGCTTTGACACTCCTTGGGGTAGAGAAAAGTGGCGTATAAAACCCAACTCCTCTTCTTTTCTTTCTTTACTTTTTTTATTTATTTGCAGAAAAAGTGCTTATTGGCATCTACCTCAGGATACAACAGCTATATACGTGTTTTTCCCACAGAGGTCATAGTAGCCAAAGGTGAGAAAGTTATGGTGATCTTACCTCTAGGAATGAATTCTGGGTCCTAATGCCCTTAATCATTCCAGCTCAGAAGAGTGGCATTCATTTCAATAGAGGTAATGTATGGTCATTATAAGAAATTACCTTATTTGGAGAGGCTATGCTTATATACTTCTGGGAAAACTGATACACTGAAGAAGCGATTGGATTTATACCTCGCCCTTCACTACCCCAAGGAGTCTCAGTGCACCTTACAATCTCCTTTCCCTTCCCCTCCCCACAGTAGACACCCTGTGAGGTAGGTGGGACTGAGAGAGCTCTTTTGAGAACTGCTCTTTCCAGAACAGCTCTGAGAGAACTGTGGCTGACCCAAGGTCACACCAGAAGCTGCATGTGGAGGACTGGGGAATCAAACCCAGTTCTCCCAGATTAGAGTCCGTGCTCCTAGCCACTACACCAAACTGGCTCATTGGAACATTGTTTACTGGAATGCCCCCTTTCCTCAAATGTGAGAGATTTGTGGATTATTGCATTCCTAGGTGGGAATGGTAGGTGCATCAGTGGGAGTAAAACTGGGGAAGACTTTTAAGCTGGAGTAGATTCAAAAGTTACTTTGGCAGTTGCAATTTCCCCCCCCCCCCATGTCATAGTGAGTAGAAAATGACTTTAAGATGATTTTCCCCCCACCCTGGTTTATGCAGATGCTAAGGTAGCACGACTCAAAACCTACAGGTTCAATGAGTAGCATCATTTATGTTATTCCGATGGAGGAAGCAGATTTGTCTGTCACTCCTAAGCACGTCACCCTTCTTCCCTGGAACAAACGGAGCAGCCTGTGCTCCCAAGCACCCTCCGCATGTGGCAGAGCACACATACGTTGTGGAGGAGGTCAATATGTGTGTCTCTTATGCTGTGTTTGACGACAGCCACAAACCAAACAACCACTCGGCGGGTCGTAAGCCAATTTTTATGCTGGTGAACGCGAGTCCTCCTCGCTTGGGTTTTGCTACGGAACGAACAGCCCTTTCCCTACCTCAGCTGACAGCTCTTTCATTTCCTGCTTCCGCTGCTGCTCCGCCACGTTGGCCACGGACTCTGCTAGCTGGTTGAGCTCTTGTTCCTTTGGGACCCCCATGAAGTTCAGCAAAGGGGGTTCCCAGCCATTTCTGAATCGTGGCACGTAGGGTGGGATGAACTGTTCTTTGGGCCACTCTGCCCTAAGGAAAAGAGAGAGCCAGAGGTGCCTTTAAAGAACTCGACCTAGCGGTGGGTGGTAAGTTATTAGAACCACTTTTGAAATGACCCATTTGGGCTTCACTTGTTATTTAAGACTTTACATGGAAGGTTTTGAAGTTTCGTTTGTTACGGTCGAAGACCAGCAGAATCAGACATACAAAATCAAACGACAGTTCTACAAGTTCTAAGAGCATATACATAATGAAGAATACAATAAAAAAAATGAAAAGCTAGAAAATATGGTGCGCTAAACCAGCACTGTACAGAAGCTTGCAAATGCGTCTGGGGTTCTAGGCTCAAGTCCAGCTAGAAGAAAGGAGGTGTCTCATTCCTCCGATCTTCCTGGAATTTTACAGAGGACAGGCTGAATAAAAGTGTATCTGAAGTCATCATGAAATGGGCAACGCAGCAATCCATGTGCAACTGTTTCAACTTCCTCAGTAGCACACTTACATGGAAGGGATCCCCCCCCCCATCAAGGTAGCCACTGGGATTGTACTTAAATGCAGGATCATACCTTGCTCTTTGCAAATATCCCCAAGCTGGTGAAACGGAGAGCTCCTGCCATAAAGAAAGGAGCAGACACACCCAACCGGCAGCTCCTGGGTCCGATTTCATTGCTCCACAGAAGCGATCAGGGAAAGCGAGAGGAGACCAGCGTGGTGTAGTGGTTAGAGCCTCAGGTTAGGATCTGGGAGCCCCAGGTTCTGGGATCTGAGAGCCCCATAGAAACTCGTTGGGTCACGCACACTCAGCCTAACCTTCCACACAGGGCTGTTGTGAGGACAAAACGGAAGAGGGGAGAATGTTGCATGCCACTTTTGGTCCCCGTTTGGGAGAACAGTGGGGGCATAAAGGAAGCAGGCTAATAATAAATTAAACGGACAAGACTGGCTTGACCCAAGCCCCAATTGACTGGGCATCTCAAGCACAGGGTCTTGAATTTCCACAGCAAAGTGCTCTTCCAACAAAATCTGGCTGACGAGGACTCTTATCCGGTGTAGTGTTAGGGAAGGTCATGTAGTATTTTATGGTTCTCCCTTTTTTTTTGTTTGGTAAAACCAGGTCCCCTGATGTCATTTGCCTAGGAGCCATTCGGATGCGGCAGGATCAAAGGAAACAAGAAAGGGCATCGAAACTGTTGGAATGAAAAGGAACTCCTGCAGCTAAAAAGGAGAAGGAAGAAGAGCTGGTGCTGTGCAGCGAGCGACAGTGCCATCCTAAGCAGAGTTGCATCTTTCTAGGCCCTTCGGCGTCGGGCGGTTTAGAGGACATGACACCGCTCAGGAGGGCACTGTCAGAGGCTGAAGACCAGAAAGCCCCCGGTTGGGATCTCCCCTTCTGTCTTGAACTCACTTGGCGGCCGTAAGCCCAAAGCACCATGCTGGAGTTCTGTGACTGGAATACCTGGCGTGGAATACCTGACTGCCATGACTTCCAGGTGCACACCCACTCGCATGCACATATAAAAAAAATACAAGAAAACCCACAACTTGGCTCTTATGTAAGCCATATACCCATTCAGCTTTCGCTTCCCATGTGCACTATTGGGTAACCATATTAACCAGCCTTACACAGTTGTTCTAAGGAGAGAATCATAGAATCACAGAGTTGGAAGGGGCCATACAGACTATCTAGTCCAACCCCCTCCTCAGTGCAGGATCAGCCTAGAGCAGTGGTGGCGAACCTATGGCACGGGCGCCAGAGGTGGCACTCAGAGCCCTTTCTGTGGGCACGAGTGCCATCGCCCCAGCCAGGCCCAGACCATCATTAAAGTGTCGAATTCTCTGCCAAATAATTTTAAGTAAATGAAAGCATTTGGGATTGCTTTCCTTACTTTGTTTGGATCATCTTAAGTTAATGTATGAGTTGTTTTTTCTAAAGTAAAACCTCAGTATTCAGGTTAAATTGCCGTGTTGGCATTTTGTGATAAATAAGTGGGTTTGGGGTCGCAGTCTGGGGTACTCGGTATCTAAAAGGTTCGCCATCACTGGCCTAGAGCATCCCTGACAGGTGTCTGTCCAGCCGCTGCTTCAAGACTGCCAGGGAGGGGGAGGCTCACCACCTCCCGAGGCAGCCGGCTACACTGCTGAAGTACTCGTACCGGTTTTAATCCGTTTTACTGTACTGTGTACTGTACTTAGATGGTTTTATGTTGTTTTTATGATGCCAAATGGACTTGTTAGCCACCCTGAGGCTGCTTCGGTGTGGGGGGGGCGGGGTCCTAAATAAATAAATAAGTAAAATAAAATAAATTCTCTAATATCCAACTGGTACCTTCCTGCCGTTAATTTAAACCCACTATTGTGAGTCCTCTCCTCTGCTGCCAACAGGAACTGCTCCCTGCCCTCCTCCAAGTGACAGCCTTTCAAATACTTCCAAGAGAGCCATCCTGTCTCCCCCTCAACCTTTTCTTCTCCAGATGGAACTTCTCCAAGTCCCTCCCGCTTCTTCTTCGTAGAGCTTGGTCTCCAGGTCAAGGAGCGCAGTGAGAGACTCCATGGGAAGCACTCTGAACACTCAAAAGGATCCTTAATGCAGAATGAACTGCAAAGTTATGTCACTGCTTGTGCTAACCCTTTCGGAAAAAAGGCCGGGCCACTGCAAAACCAGTGAAGAAAATGTTCTGATTTATGCGCACACAATGCTTTCACGTTTTCTGCACTTGCAGTTCCCGTGAGATACAGAAGCCGACAACTGCTAACTAGATAGATATTTTTGGAATCAGTGAAAATGTTCCTGCGTGAACTAGCGGCTCTTGCTGCTTGAGGCTGTGACATTGGGAGCAGGATTTTCTCTCCCCTCCACCCCATAATCCGGGGCCCCTACAGGCTGCGCAGAAAAAAGCACCATCCTGTTGCTTGAATTATTGACTCTTCCAACGAGATACGGCTCCCTGGAATGTGCTTTACAGTTTCTTCTTGGACACCCCCCCCCCAAATTTATGGACCTTGTCAGAAATGAATCAAAGTGACTAGTAATAGCGAAGTAGTCCTGGGAACTGCTAGAATCAATAGGACATTGATGCATCTTTGCTTACTGGGAAGCCATCCTTAACCACCACCACCGAGGAAAAGGTACAGAGGTTCTTAACGACTGGCACGTTTGGGGGTCAGAATAAACAGGGCAATACATTGAAACTGAGTCACACATGCACCCAAAGCTGCCTTACACTGAACATAAGAACATAAGAGATGCCAATGTTGGATCAGGCCAAAGGCCCATCCAGTCCAACACTCTGTATGACACAGTGGCCAGAAATACCAGGTGCCATCAGGAGGTTCACCAGTGGGGCCAGGACATTAGAAGCCCTCCCACTGTTGACCCCCCCCAAGCACCAAGATGACAGACCATCACTTGTCCCAGAGTCCCTATCTATACCTTGTGGCTAATAGCCACTGATGAACCTCTGCTCCATATGCCTATCTAATTCCCTTTTGAAGCCGTCCATGCTTGTAGCCGCCACCACTTCCTGTGGCAGTGAATTCAGATACTGAATCAGACCGTCGGTCCTTCAAGGTCAGTATTGCCTGCTCAGACCGGCAGCGGCTCCCCAGGGTCTCAGGCAGAGGCCTCTCACATCACCTGCTGCTTATTCCTTTTAACTGGAGATGCCGGGGACTGAACCTGGGACCCTTCTGCACGCCAAGCAGAGGCTCTTACCACTGAGCCACACCCTGCTCCTGGCACCCCTGCCCTTTTATTTCAATTCCTTTGCACCCCTCAAAAACGCAAGCCTTTAGAGGACATTATGGGGAAGGGCTGAGGTTCCGTGGCAAAGGACATTTTGTACATGCAGAAGGTCCCAGTTTCGATCCCTGGCATAAGGCAGCGGGTGTTGTGGAAGATACGCTTGCAATCCTCTATATAATCCCTTTGATTCCTTTCTTGTGTTACTAAATGTCTCCTTTTTGGGGGGTGCACGATTTTTTTTTAACTGAGCAAAGCTGCTCATCGCCACATGATGATAATCCCGGGTGCTTGCAAAGATGACCCGTAAGGCAATTTTCATCATATTGGCGCCTTCCTTACCTTTAAGGCCCGAACCCTTCAACAACCATTACAACGGCTCATCTTGACCTTGTCTTTCCCCCTGAGCAGAGGTCATTTCGGGGGGGGAACACGGGGGATCGCAGTTCCCCCGGGTGAGGTACGGGGGGCGGGGCACATGATGAAGTCCCGCCCCCTGCTTCCGGCCGTCCCGCTTCCGGCCCTCATTCAGCCAGGAGGAGGCAGGAGAAGAGGGAGGGTAAGTTGCTTCCTCCCCGCCTCTCCCCACCCCTGCCTGCCTGGGGCCAGGGAGGGCCTTCGCGGGGCTTTCTTGCACTCCCGCCGGCCTTGCAGGTCCACCACTGGGCCCCTCATGGGGCTCGGCAGTGGAGCTGCAAGGCCGCCGGTGGCGGCCGGGACCATTGGGGGCGGGGTGTGCGGCCTTATGACACACTTCCGGTGATGTCAGGGGGTGTGGCATATGCTAATGAGTTATGCTAATGAGTTCCCCTAGCTCTTTTTCTACAAAACGACCCCTGCCCCTGAGCCTTCACTACTATCTGAAGTCCAGTCTAATGCATTTATCCCACCGCTCCTCCAAGGAGCTCAGAGCAGAACACGCGGTTCTTCCCATTTCAGCCTCACATTCACAACAACCCTGTGAGGTAGGTCAGGATGAGTGTGTGTGACTTGTCCAAAATGATAACAGTGAGGTTCACGACAGGGAATGGATCTGATTTCAGGTTCCCCCAGTCAGAGTACGACGCTTAGCTGGTTAATTTTTTCTCATCCCAGTTCCATTATATGCCCCATGTAAGTAGCATAGGCAGGGGACTTTTTAAAATTGACATTTGGAAAGCAGGGGAAGAATAAACCTACGCAGAGAAGGTACGGAATCTCACACATGAATGAAGCTGACTGATACTTAATAAGACCATCAGTCCCATTAAGGTCAGAATTGTCTACTCAGACCGGCAGCGGCTCCCCAGGGTCTCAGGCTGAGGCCTTTCTCATCACCTACTACCAGATCCTTTTAACTGGAGATGCTGGGGATTGAACCTGGGACCTTCTGCAGGCCAAGCAGAGGCTCTTCTGTTGAGCCACAGCCCCTCCCCTGTGTAACAGTCATGCCATGATTACTTGCTTGATTATTCAGGCCATCCAGACTTTTGCTGAAGCTCCATTTGGTGTAGTGGTTAGGAGCGAGGATGCTAATCTGGGAGAATCAGGTTTGATTTCAATCCATCCATCCTCCACCTGCAGCTGCTGGTGTGACCTTGGGTCAGCTACAAGCTATTCCAGGGCTGTTCTCTCACAAGTAGTTCTCAAAAGAGCTCTCTCAGCCCCAGCTGCCTCACAGGGTGTCTGTTGTGGGGAGGGGAAGGGAAAGGAGTGTGTAAGCTGCTCTGAGACTCCTTCGGGTCGTGAAGGGCGGGGTATAAATCCAATCTCTTCTCTTCTTCTTCTTCTGTCTTTGCCAGATTCAGTAAAATGGCCTGGCTGCTACACAATCAATTCACGAATGATTAAGGAGTCCCTTGACAGTGATGGGCTCCACACTGACTCCCGCCCATTATCCCAGGTCTCCATTTTCGGTGATGACAAAGGTTAAGGGTCTTTTAACTGAAACCCTAATTATCGAGGGACTCCTTTGTTTATGGATTGTGCAAACCAAGAAGCAGAACCAAACATAGAACTGCTTGAAACAAGAACTTGGAGGAAGCAAAATAATTTGCCTACATCAAACCGTATCAGTGAACCTGGATGCTATCTGAATGTATAAAACAGCAATACAGAAAAGAGTCTGTTTGTTTGTTTTAACCTGGCTTTGGTCCATGTGTCACCTAGCGACATCCACAGTTGTCCTTCTTCACTTGTGACCGTGTAACGCAAGAAGTCTATCGTATCTTTTGTTAACAGAGGGCTGAGGACGGTGCTGGCAAGCTCTGGGCCCCCTGTGGCTTGTACCACCTGTAAAACAGATGATTAAAAAGAGAGCGATTCATATAAAAGAACCAGGAACAGATTCTAGTAAGAAAAAGTGGATGAAATGACTTTCTAGCAAGAGTTCTCTGGGCAGCTTCTCGTCCCAGTCCATACACAAGAACGTAAGAAGAGCCTTGCTGGATCAGACCAGTGGGCCATCTAGTCCAGCATCCTGTCTCACACAGGGGCCAACCAGTTCCTCTGGAGGGCCAACAACAGGGCGTAGAGGCCGAGGCCTTCCCCTGATGTTGCCTCCTGGCTCTGGGATTCAGAGGATTAGTGCCTCTGAACGTGGAGGTTCCCCTCAGTCACTATGACTAGTAGCCACTGATAGACTTATCCTCCACGTATCTATTTAATCCTCTTTTAAAGCTGTTTAGAGAGGTGAAGCGGCACCAAATCACTGCTTTATTCTTGAAAATGGTGAGATGAAGATGATTTTCTTTTCCCAGAACTTTGGCAATAGACCATTATTTAGGGTTCCCAGGACCCCCCCGGTCTGGGTAGGATATCCCACGATTTTCACAGAAGTCACGTCATTGTGTTGGCCACATTGCACGGTGATGCTCTGCTTTTGGGGGGAAAACTCTATGGTTTGAGCCCAATTTTAATCGCAAAGTTTGCCCAAAAGTTTGCCCAAAAGGCAAAATGTCACCCCAACGTTGACAGCATGATGACGTCACTTCTGTGTGACCTCATCACATCGGGGATGTTGCCGCCCACTGCCAGATGACCCCCCCCCCAAATCCCCCTGCTGGCGCAATGATCGTGCCTGGCAACCCTACCATTATTATTTAGTGGGGTTCCTTTCAGGGGGGTCATTTCTCACTGCTGTTGGTTGGAGTTTGCCGATAAATGTTATTTTAATCACAGAAATTGTTGTTCGGCAGTTTTTATTGTCTTGTTAAGAATGTCTGAGAGCGCTGTTCTGAGAATACAACTGAGAAGTGGGACAGGTATGTTGTCAAACACACACGGACACAAATGGACACCAGCCCTTTCCCGATTGCTTTCTTCCTCATGACAAACCAGGAGTTACAGAGAAATCCTTGCTATGCAAGTAGGGTTGCCAGCTCTGGGCTGGGAAATCCCTGGAGATTTTGGGGGTGGAGTCTGAGGAGGGCAGGGTTTGGGGAGAGGAGGGACCTCAGCGGGATATAATGCCACAGAGTCCACCCTCCAAAGCGGCCATTTTCTGCAGGGGAACTGTCCTCTGTTCTCTGGAGACCAGTTGTAACTCCAAGAGATCTCCAGCCACTGTCTGGAGGTTGGCAACCCTACATACAATGGGCAGTGCACTCTTTGAATTTGTATTCAGTCCTAATGGCTATTCAGTAACCTTATTCTGCTTTTGGATAAACTGAGCTTGTTAGATTTGGATAGGAGAGATGTTGCAGTTATAAATGTATCATAATGTTTTAATGCCTGATGTTCACTGCCTTAGGGACCCTATTTGGGAAGAAAGGTGGGACATAAATGTTTGAAATAAAATTTAGGGTGCCTGATGTCATTCATCCTGACGGAATACACGGTGCTATCCCCTCATTGCTCTCTGCGACGTTTTCTGGTTGATTTAAGGGAGAGTGCTCCAAAATACAATAAAAACTGCCCCCCTCCTGAGGTGGTATTATAAACCCATAAAATATCTCACCATATTTAATGGAGTAAACAGAAAATGAATCAGCTCTGGGGCACTGGGATTCTGGATGTGGGATTTTAATTTAGCCTGCAGGGAAAAAAAGAGAGAGAGAGAGAACATGAGAGGAAAACTGGTACTTCTCAGGGAAGTCGACATGAGGGACACCAAAGCTCCAGGAGGTAACCCGTGGTTTGCATCTAGAAGGTTGCTAATCAAGAACCCAGGCGGTCGACTACCTCCTCAGTTTCCAGATCTCTCTGATCACATGCAGCTCATGATTCTGAAATCTTTTTTAAATTAATTTTATTAAAAGATAAGTCAAGTGTACATAAATAAACCCGTTATATCTCAAGATTACTGTATAAACATGAATATAAACTGTAAGTGCAGATACATATATCACAATGATGGTGAACCTTTTAGAGACCGAGTGCCCAAACTGCGACCCAAATAGGGCTGCCAAGTGGGGGCAGGGGGCGGGTAAACCCCCGCTTTGGAGGCCCGATTTTCCCCGCTTTGGAGGCCCGATTTCCGCTGCTGCGGAATCGGGCCCCGGGGGGAACTCCGCCCCCCGAAGCGCAGCGTGGCTGCGTCATGAGAGGTGACACAACCATGTCGATCACGTTGGGGGTGTGGCCCCGATCATCGGAGGGAAAACTCTATGGTTTTCCCTCCAACGATCGGGGCCACGCCCTCAACGTGTCGACGTCGTGCGTCACTTCCGGTGACGTCCTGGCAGCGCGCGCACAGACATGTCCACCAACAGCTCCCAGAGCCCGGCAAGACTCCCCTGCCGCCAAGGTAAATAGACTTGGCAACCCTAGACCCAAACCCACTTATTTATCACAAAATGCCAACACAGCAATTTAACCTGAATACTGAGGTTGTACTTTAGAAAAAACAACTCATACATTAACTTAAGATGATCCAAACAAAGTAAGGAAAGCAATCCCAAATGCTTTCATTTACTTAAAATTATTTGGCAGAGAATTCGACACTTTAATGATGGTCTGGGCCTGGCTGGGGTGATGGCACGCGTGCCCGCAGAGAGGGCTCTGAGTGCCACCTCTGGCACCCGTGCCATAGGTTTGCCACCACTGATATATCACAATGCCATCTATTAACTTGTCAGCAGGATCTTCCCATGACCATATCCTTGTCACTTTCTTGTGATTTTCCAATTATTCTAAGATTGCTATCATAGTAACGTATAATAATTCCAGATATATTTTAGAAGAACCTCAAAGCGAAGTGAAATTACCGAACTAGCCGCCACATCAATATCCACGGCACGGCTTTCTATTGTTGCCTCATGGAAAAACCAGAGTTTCTCTGGTTTCTCTTCAGATCGCCTCATGGAAAAATCCTGATCCTCCTTCCATTGCTCAATGGAGAAATAAATGTTGGGACCACTTTGTGATGGACAAAGTAGCAGATAAATACGAGTCCCACACACAAGGGTATGCGGGGTCCCATTCCAGATTCATTCGAAAATGGTGTCCCTCTCATAACATATTTCACAGAAAACGATGTATTACCAGCACATACTGGCTATGCAGAATGGCTACATCTATGAGAATTTTTTATGGTCTGAGCACTCTCATAAAATACTATTGAGGTCATTCTGAAATCTGACAATAATGGCCAGCGCTAACTTCTGAATCCTGGTTTGCAAACCTACTGTGTTACCCTCCTTCCAGAGAGCTTAGTTTTGAGAGCCAGTTTGGTGTAGTGGTTAACAGTGGCAGACTCTTGATTCCCCACTCCTCCAGATGAAGCCAGCTGGGTGGCCCTGGGTCAGTCACAGCTCTCTCAGAACTCTCTCAGCCCTGCCTACCTCACAGGGTGTCTATTGTGGGGAGAGGAAGGGAAGGAGATTGTAAGATTCTCTGAGACTCTGAGTGAAGCATGGGATATACAATTCTTCTCCTTCTTCTCCTCCTTCTCCCTCCTCTCTCTTGACCGTTCCCTTCAGCCTGAGGGAGAAGACCTGGCACATCCTCCTCAGCTGCTTGCTTCTTGCATTACAAAGGGCCTGGCCTATCTCCATCCTACCCCCCCCCCAGTAGCTTCCCCCCTCCGGAACTCAAAAACAAGGTCTCAGCAGTTCCTGTGGGAAGTCGTCACCACCCCCCACCGCACACCTGTGACACATCCCTTCATTTCCCTCCCCGAACTCAGCTGCTCGTCAGACAGCGGGCTTTAAAGGTAAGCACCAGCACCTTGAAACGGATTCGGTATGCTATTGGCAGCCAGTGCAGGGCCTTCAACGCAGGCTGGATGTGTTCCCATCTAGGTAAGCCCATCAACAGCCTGGCCACGGCATTCTGCACTAGCTGCACCCTCCGAATTTGCAACAAGGGCAGCCCCATGTAGAGAGCGTCGCAGTAGTCTAGTCTCGAGGTGACCGTCACATGGATCACTGTGGCCAGGTCGTTGCGGTCGAGGAAGGGAACCAACTGCCTAATCAGCCGAAGATGGTAAAAGGCCAACTTGGCAGTGGCTGCTACCTGGGCCTCCATTGTTAAGGAGGGGTCCAGGAGCACAACCAAGTTCCTAACCTCCGGCGCTGGCACAAATGGTGCCCCGCCGAAGGCCGGGAGTGGGGTCCCCACCAGTGTTCCCTCTAAGCTGAGTCGGTGTGAGCTAGCTCACAGTTTTTTTGGCCTCCGGCTCACACATTTTTGTCTTAGCTCACAAAGGATGGCTCCAGAGCAAACTGATTTATGCAGCAGCCAAATCGCTGGTTCACAACTTTAATGGCAGTAGCTCACAAAGTAGAATTTTTGCTCAGGGGACTCCATAGCTTAGAGGGAGCATTGGTCCCCACCTGCACACTGCCCCGGCCCACACACAGGACCTCCGACTTCGCCGGATTCAGTTTCAGCCAACTCAGCCTAAGCCAACCAGCCACGGCCTGTAATGCACGGTCCAGATCTCCAGGACTGGAGTTCGACCGGCCGCCCAGCATCAGATAGAGCTGGGTGTCATCAGCTTTACTGATGGCACCGCAGCCCATAACTCCGGGCTATCTGGGCAAGGGAGTGCATATAGATGTTAAATAGCATCGGGGAAAGCACTGCCCCTTGAGGCACTCCAGTGGGTGTCTCCTGGACTGTTGCTCCCCGATTGCCACCCTTTATCCCCAACCTTGGAGAAAGGAAGCAAGCCACTGTATGGCAAGCCCCTGTATTCCCATGTCGGCGAGGCGGTGGAGCAGCAACTGATGGTCAACCGTGTCGAACGCAGCCAACAGGTCCAACAGCACTGCCACACCGCCCCAATCCAGATGCCTCCGGAGATCGTCCATGGCAACTGCCAGAAAGGAAGACGAAACTGCCCTGTAAGAGGGGAAGGAAGGAGAGGACAGGAGCTCCAAGCGTGAGACACGTTCTTGAGCCACCAAAATTTGATTTGCAGAATTGTTCAGACTCAGCCGGCCATGTTGATCTTGGCAATAAGATTCGTAGCTGAGCCAGCGCGGTCCTCCTGAATCCTGTTATGGTCTTATTGAAATCAGTGAACTTGGCTCCTTGGGAAGTCAAACCTTCACCAAGCCTCGCAACTCAGTGTCTAGCCCCAGCCTGCCATTTCCCAGGTTTGTTCCCTTCATAGAGGCCAAAGCACCTGGAAGAAATAGACTCTCTGTTCTGACAGCTGATCCTAAATGCGGTTAGAAGCACTTGGACAACAGATATAAACAAGCCTTACTGGACACAGAGTTGCCATCCAGAGAAGGGAGACGGTTGGGCTGGATCCCATGCAAAATCTCCACTGTTGGAAGGGATTTCCTTCCCCCCTCGTTGGACAGCAAAACTGTCCTCTGAAATCTGAGTCCACTGGCACCTTTAGTACGGCTGGACTCTAGCTTCATTCTCACATCTTTTTTGTTAACTCTTGCATTTACGGGCTAATTTGCTGCTATCCATTGATCTTACCGGCCACCTGATCCAATTTCAGCTCTGCAGATGCATCTTGGCTCTGAGTGGCCCCACCTAACGGCTGCCCCCCCCTTTCCCCCTGTAAATAACCCTTGAGGAGGTTTTGTTCCATTTGTCTGAAGAAGCGTGCTTTGCACATGAAAGCTTACCGCTTTGAATAAAACTTTGTTGGTCTTAAAGGTGCCGCTGGACACGAACTTTGTTCCGCTGCCTCAGACTGACATGGCTGCCCACCTGGATTTGTCCACTGAAGTGTTTCCCTTGGGGACAGGGACCACCAGGGGGATAGTTGGAGGGGCTGTGGCTCTGTGGCAGAGCATCTGCTTGGCATGCAGAAGGTCCTAGGTTCAGTCCCTGGCATCCCCACTTAAAAGGGCAAGGAGAAAGACTCTGGAGAGCTGCTGCCAGTCTGAGTAGTCAACACTGACCTTGATGGACCAAGGGTCTGATTCGGTATAAGGCAGATTATAGCTGTACAATTTAGGGAGGGGCTGTGGCACAGTGGTAGAGCATCTGCTTGGCATGTAGAAGGTCCTAGGTTCAGTGCCCAGTATCTCCAGTTAAGGGTCAGGTAGTAGGTGATGTGAAAGACCTCTGCCTGAGACCTTGAAGAGCCACTGTTGGTCTGAGTAGACAATACTGGCTTTGATGGACTGATGATCTGATTCAGTATTGTTGGAAAAATTGGCAAAAATACTTAGATATTCAGAGTTTGCAATGGATCTTTGCTTCACTGGAGAGGAGGCATTTCTTTCTGTGTAAAAATCTTTATTTCGAAGGGAAGGGTACCCAGGAACATCTACAAAATAACAAAGACCTAAGGCTACATCTCCAGAGCTACAGAACAGACCGACCAAACAGTCTCACAACAACAACAGCAGCAACAACAACCATGGAGATTCTTCTTCTTCTGGACCCCTAGAAGGAAATCACCTGAATACATTAACCAATGAGTGTGAGTAAACAGATTTCCTGGGCTTTCTTCCCATTGGCTCTGTGCCAGGTTTCCCTTTCAGGTCAGTCTAAACAATAGCACACAAGGATGTACAGATTAACCCTATCATGACTGGATTAGATTAAACAACAGCACACAAGGTAAACAGATTAACCCTATCATGACTGGATTAGACCTTGCAACACACACATATTTCCAACAAGTATAAGGAAGTTTCATGTGCTCATGTGAGGTTTGCCACAGGAGGGAGAGAACTGGTGAAAAACATTTCCTCTTCCGTCAACAGAAATTTCTGTTGGATCCAGCTCAAGGATTGACAAAAGGGAAGGCAAAGCTCATCTTCCAAAGGACATTCAATGGCACTTTACACTGCAGGTAGAAAAACGCAGGTGTGAGACCCAACCTTGAGAACTTTGCTTTAGCCACTTACCAGGAGGTTGAAGCCATGTTTAAATTTCTGCAAACAGTCCACGAATTCATCTGGAGCTGGAGGCTTTGCACGCAGAGTCAAGACACCCTCTGGTGAATAAAACAAAATAAATTTATCAGGAAGAGCTCGTCTTTACTAATTTTCAAAACAGAGGCAATATGAATCACACAAGCTAGGTCAACATAGTGAGGAAAATGAGACAGCAGAATAGATTGTACCACTTCAGAATCCCATGTTAGAAAATGGCGGGGGGGGGGGGGGTTGGTTGGTTGGTTGGTTGTATCTTCAGGGATTTAAACACAGAGAAGCATTAAAATATATGAACCTCTCTCCACAGTCATAACTGAACAAGGGAGTTATGTGGTACATCCTATTCCGTTCCGTTCTATGGAATGAAAAGGAGACTCGGAGGTTATTCCTGTATAAGCAACTGTATAAGCATGATGAAGCCATTCAGAATCAAAATAAGGTGTAACAGACCTCTTGGGAAAAGCAAGATAGAGGAAGTGTGTTGCACGCCTTAGGGCCCAGGTTCAGTCCCTGGCATTGCCCAGAAAAGGAGCTCAGGTGCTGGAAAAAATGCTTCTCTCTCAAGACCCTGCAGATGAGCGGTCAGTCGGAGGGGATGACAGTGACCTTGAAGAAGCCAATGGTCTAACTCTATATAGGCAGTTTCGTATATTTCATTTTAATCATCCATTTTGTTCACCATTCCAATATCCCAAATTCTCTTATTACAAAAATAGACAGCTTCAAGAGGGGGTTGGATAAACATATGGAGCAGAGGTCCATCAGTGGCTATTAGCCACAAGGTATACATAGAACACTCTGTCTGGGGCAGTGATGCTGTGTATTCTTGGTGCTTGGGGGGGCAACAGTGGGAGGGCTTCTGGAGTTTTGGCCCCGCTGGTGGACCTCCTGATGGCATCTGGGTTTTGGCCACTGTGTGACACAGAGAGTCGGACTGGATACGCCATTGGCCTGATCTAATATGGCTTCTCTTATGTTCTTATGTTCTCTCCTTTTTCCCTACTTACTTGGAAAACAGCTGTCTCGTTTTGCCCAGCAAAGAGCTCTGTTAAGGTCAAAAGCTTACACACTCTCACCAACAAGTATTAGCCCGATTAGGAAAGTACCCCTTGTTCCAGGCCCTGTCTAGCCACTACACCAAACAAGCAAGCATTAAAGGGAAAAGAGAAGGAAGCACAGAGGTGAAGCGGCTGATTTTGGTGGCAGCCATGTGTAACATCTAGTTATGGCTTTAGACAATGCTCTGGGCTCCTTGGAAAACATAAACAGTACTTGAAGACAAGAACACAAGAAACTGCCTTATACTGAATCAGACCATTGGCTTGAATTCAGAATCAGTACTGTCTACTCAAGGAGCTGCGGTGGCTCAAGTGGTTAAGACGCTGAACTGCAGGCTGTGGAAGGTCGGTTGTTCAGCAGTTCAAGACCCGAGTTGCCGCATGACGGAGTGAGCTCCCGTCTCTAGTTCCAGCTCCTGCCAACCTAGCAGTTCGAAAGCAAGAAATTGCAAGTAGATAAATAGGTACCACTTCGGTGGGAAGGTAACAGCATTCCGTGCGCCTTGGTGTTTAGTCATGCCGGCCACATGACCACGGAAACGTCTTCAGACAGCGCTGGCTCTTCGGCTTTGAAACGGAGATGAGCACCGCAACCCTAGGGTCAGACTCGACTGGCATTCGAGCAAGGGAACCTTTACCTTTACCTTTTACTGTCTACTCAGACCAGCAGCAGCTCTCGAGGATCGTAGTTAGAAGTTACACACATCATCTATCACAGGGGTCCCCAACCTGGTGCCCGTGGGCACCATGGCACCAGGCAACACCTTTTCTGGCGCATACCCAGGGTTTTTAGGAAGGGTGGGGCCAGGTGGGAATTTTGCCTAGCAAGGCTTCTGGCTGACTATTTGAGATATGATTGGCTGTGTAGGTTATTTAAAAGGTTGCTTTGCCAGCAGCTACCACCACAGCACAAGGATCTACACCAGGAGTGTCAAATTTATTTATGAGGGTTGGATATGACGTAAATGTCATCTTGTCGGGCCAGGCTAGGTGTGCCATAAAATGTAACACCAGGTACTAGGAATATAAACTTTATAAAGGACACCGGCAAACTCTATTAGCGATATTATTTTTTACTCAAAATACAAACAAAAGCAATTGATTCCTAGCTGGGAAAGCAACTGATTTACTGGGAAACCCACAGAAGCCCCAATAGAGATATTTAATCATATGCAAGACTAGGGGGAGTACCTTACTTTTCCATACATACTAGTTGCTCGAGCGCCGAGTAAGAGGCCTGGACGGGCCGGTTCTGGCCCCTGGGCCTTATGTTTGACACCCCTGCTCTACACTGTGTGACTGAAGCTGAACTGTGGCAATAATTTTGTGGTTGGCTCCACCTCCTGTGGCAGCCATTATGTTGCTGTGCCCACCCCCATGCCATGAAGAAATCCCAAATGTGCCCACAGGCTCATAAAGTTTGGGGACCCCTATCCTTTCAACGGGAAATGCCGGAAATTGAACCTGGGATCGTCTGCATGCCAAGCAGATGCTCTACCACTGAGCTACGGCCCCTCCTGTACTTGCAAAGGGGTACCTGCTTTGCTGAACTAGAGCGGATCAGTGCCCAAAGCGATCACAATTAAAGCAGCACGTCAGAAGAATGAACAAACCCGCAGCCACTAAAGATGAAAGTGCCTGCAAGAAAGTCCTCCAGGGAATGGAGGTAACCGTTCCTTACCGCCGGGACCTTTCTTTTTATTCTTCTTGGTCTTCTTCCTCTTTGAAAGCTCAGCAAATGCTTCGGCTGCTTTTTGAAGTTTGGTGACAAAGTATTCAATGTCGTCCAAGATGTGGTTTAGGATTTGCTACGGCAAAGACCCAACAGACACATACATATAAATATCTATAGGAGTACAGAAATGTCAGGGTCCCCACCCAAATTGCAGCGGAGTTAGTCATTCAAATAAAATTAGAAAACATCTAGGAGACGAGCAAAACATTTACACCGTGAAATGGCACACGCTCAGATGAATGAGGCTGACATTCCCATACAGTCTGAGCCCATATTTCACTCTGTCTTTCAAAGTAATCATCATTTTAAAAAAGCTCTTAGACAAAATGGGTGTCTATTAAAATCCTGGAAGCAAATTAGCTTTACTTCGGTATGTTCATTCTCCAGCGCAAAAATCAGGCTGGAGATAATTTTGGCACTACCAAGAGCTATCCCCCCCCCCCCCCCAACTTTGTTTTTAAATGTCTGGCTATTACTAAGTGTTCAAGCTATTCACTGTTGGCATTCAGGGTTCTTAAGAACATAAGCGAAGCCATATTGGATCAGGCCAGTGGTCCATCCAGTCCAACCTTCTGTGTCACACAGTGGCCAAGACCCAGGTGCCATCCGGAGGTCCACCAGTGGGGCCAGAACTCTAGAAGCCCTCCCACTGCTGCCCCCCAAACACCAAGAATACAGAGCATCACCACCCCAGACAGAGGGTTCCATCTATATTTTGTGGCTCATAGCCACTGATAGAATAAGGTTACCATTGTGTCAGTTGTCCTTGGAGCCCTCGGAACAGTGCCTAGAAGTCTCAAGAAACACCTGGACATTCTGGGCACTGAGCAGATAACACCAGCTCAGCTCCAGAAGACAATGTTGCTTGTAACAGCAAGAATCCTGTGACAACACATCTGCAATTCCCAAGAAATTGGCTAGGTCTCGAATTGCAGAACACCATCTACCAGTCAAATATCTGATTGTGACAATTCATAATAATTTCTGCTATACTCCAAACCATTTTCTAAATATATATATGGGGGGGGGGGGGGGAGAGAGAGAGAGAGAGAGAGAGAATGGGGAAACAACTGCCTTATGGTTGTTAAGTAACTATGAGACATATTCTTCTACTAGCTTCGAGTTAGAGCTGCTTCACTCTTGTACTAGCCAAAGCTAACCTGGTGTGATGCCAGCATTCTCCCATAAACAAAGTAGGTAAATAAGAAGACGTAGGTAAATGGGACTCTTGGCATGTACCCACAGGGCATTTAAAGACATGCACCTGCCCTACACGCAATGTGCTGATTGATGGAAACCCTAGTTATTGCAATATCCTAAAAAGCCAGGGACCAGGATAAATGAATACCTGTGCTCATATAAACCAGCCTGCCAATTAAGACTTAGATTAGAGGCCTGGTCTGCGTGCCTCCAGCTTTGGAAATATGGTGGATGGCAAACTATCTGCAAGGCCTTTTTTGTGGTGGTGCCCCAATTGCAGTTTATCTCCCACCCATTTTGCACAATGTTGCTTCTGTCAGGTTTTAGGTGCCAGCTGAAAACTTTTTTTAAAAAAAGACAATTTAGCTAGTGAATTTTGTTTTGCCTGAGCTTTACGCCCTCTATATACGCTGAAATTAAGTTTTTCTTGCTTAGTCTCTGTGTTCTTAGCACAATCTTCAGCTGCTTTGTTATCCTTTTTTCTTACAACTGAGTTCTTCGAAGTTGGTCGCATATTGTCGGAGAAGCAATAAATCAATAATTTAAACAAACAACAACAAACAAATTGCTACTGCGAACTAGAATGCAAAATGGCCCTTCAGGAATACAACTGCAAGGGCGTTTGGTGTCTGTTAATTCGCTTCCACATTGCAGGATTGTCGGATAGGCAGCCTCTCACTGTTCACTTAGACAAAAACAACCATTCAGAACCAAACCAAGCTTGAGCGAGAGATTTAAATACAGCTCTGCTTCTACTCACAACATCTCTGTCAATTCTGGCTGTCACCATTTCAGCTGTTTCTTCGTGTTCATGGAACTGTCTTGGCTTTTCATCTAAGGGAAAACAAAACATGCAACATTAACCTGTGCAGCAATGTAGACGGTTAATTACATTCAACCACCATCTTGTACAATACCACAAAAAGAAGGAGTAACCTGTCTAGAATCCCGTGCTAGATGCAGTGTGTGGGAAGAAACATGAGATGTATCATACAGAATCATCACCAAGTTCCATTCCATCTCCCATCTCCAAAGAAGATTCAAACTGCTCCCTCTCCCAAAATACTAGAACTCAAGGGTATCCAATGACGATGAACAGCAGTAGATTCAGGACAGACAAAAGGAAACACTGTTTTACACAGAGAGTGATTAAAATGTGGAATTTGCTGCCAGAGGATGTAGGGATGGCCAGAGGAATAAACAGCTTTAAAAGGGGATTCGATAGATTCATGGAGGATAAGTCTATCAGTGACTACTAGCCATGGTGGCTAAGGGGAACCTCCACATTCAGAGGCACTAAGCCTCTGAATCACAGAGCCAGGAGGCAAGATCAGGGGGAGGCTTCGGCCTCTATGCCCTGTTGTTGTCAGAGGAACTGACTGGCCACTGTGTATGACAGGATGCTGGACTGGATGGACCACTGGTCTGATCCAGCAGAGCTCTTCTTATGTTCTTATGTACCACAGAGACACCGAAAAAACTCTTAGATTTGGTAACAATCCTGTAGTTATCCTGGCTCCATGATAGCTATCTATTTTGGCCACCAAACATTGTGATAGCTATCTATTTTGGCCACCAAACATTTGGTAACAATCCTGTAGTCATCCTGGCTCCATGATAGCTATCTATTTTGGCCACCAAACATTGTTGAAAACTCCATGAAGGTTGATAGTCCACCTCCCATCTCCACAGGTCATATGCTACATATTGGCAGCCTGAAAGAAAAGGGAAAGAACCAACCAATTTTGCTCCCAATACTGTGTTGCCTGTTCACCTGAAAGTAATTATAAACGTCACCAATGACCATGCAAGTAACTGGTTATGAGTCTGCAGAGTCCATTTATGCATATCCAGAGATCTGTGTGTACTGTATTGTAAATGTGTATTGCATTCTGTACTGCGAATGTGTGAAGCAATGCCTACTGAAATTTCAAAAGCCAAAGAAGCCTCACTGAATGAGATAATTCCCTAGTGGTCAAGGGTGTGGGGCTTCATGTCCCCTCCCCCTTCCTCCTCTACCGCCAGCTGAACCAGAACAAATCACAGGAAGCAAATTATGGAAAACAGAAAATGCACATTGGCTCAATTTAGATAATTTAGATAGTTTACACGGGAAACAGAATTTACATGGCTTTGAAGAAGAATTTACTTTTTAAAATGCAGAGTCCCCAGTGTTCTTGGTCTCTCACTAGGAGGTTTATCACAGACTAGACAGGCTGGCAAGACGCTGCTGGGAGGCCCCAATGCAGTCTGCAGCCACAGGTTTGACAGGCCTGCCACACAGCATCGTTACTTGACGTGAAAGGCTATCGATAAGTCGCAGCAACACTCACAGTCTCCTTGTTCGGCTGCCCAAGCGGACCAGGCTGCCACCCGGCTTCTGACGTCCACCTGCGTGACGGTACCTGGGGGGACGGGAGCCGGCGCTTTGGGGGGCGGAGGGATAGTGCTGTCGGCTTTGGAAATCATCCTAGGAAGCAGACAAAAAAAGCCAAAACTGGACCAAAGAAAAAAACCTTTTCCTTCCTTCCAATGATTTATTGGGAGGGAAACGCCTTGTATGCCAAAGATTCAGCCGTCTGTCATCTCTCACTCTGTGGGAAGCACACTCAGCACACATGGCAAGGTGCCTCGTAAACAGATTACAAACACGTTAGCGGAAGAGCAGCTTTTCTAGCAAACAGAATATTGCGTATTTTCAAACCCCAAGCAGAACTAGGAACCTCATACAACCATGTATTGCAAAGTACAAACAGAAATATTCTATTAAGAAGGAATGAAATAAAATAGTGAACGTTTTTCTATAATAGAACAGTCCCCCCCCCCCACAAAACCCCAATGAATAGCAAAAGATATAATTTCACTAGGGTTGCCAGTCCCCAGGTCCTGGTGGGGTTTCCCCCAGTTTCCGGAGCTTCAGCCTACCTGCGGCCAGTGGGAAAAACTGCACCCCCCAAACAGCCACATCCCCGACACAATGATGTCACCCAGAAGTGACGTCATCACATTGGGGACATCGCATGGGACACTCTGGTTTGAGGGCAAGACTCCATGGTAAATTTGGCCTAAAACCATAGAGTTTTGCCCTCAAACCAGAGCATCGCAGGCGTGATAACATCACTTCCGGGTGATGTCATCGCATCAGGGATGTCCCAGAACGCCCCCAAATCCCCCCACTGGCGCAGCGAGGGGAGCTAGCAACCCTAAATTTCACTAAGGTGTCGAAAAAGCAGAAGCCTGGGGAAACTGACAGATGCTATTTTTCTTAAAGGAGCTAGAAGCCAAATATGAAAAGAAACCAAGAGCCAAAACAGAAATTTGTGGGTGCCAATCGAAGAGGGCACTTTGGCTCCACGCATTGTTCATGGGCCCAAGACTCAAGTCTTACCTGAGTGTTTCAAGCCTCCTCTTTGGTTTCACCCCTTTGTTGTCGCTGATTGCACTTTCAATATCTTCATGGATAAAGCTAGCCTGAGCAGAAGCAATGAAACAGACGAAGAAAGTCAGAAACACCTCCGGGAGCTTACCTAGGGCACTCTTGGCTCAGTTAAAGACCATTTAGTTCATTGGCTAAGGGTTCACCAACTGAATTGGCACAGAGCTGCCTATGAATAGAACCAACAATTGTGCGAGGAAAGGTATTCTTGTTACTTTGATCAGTTCAGAAAATTAAACACACACATTTTCATTTATATCCTGTTTTCCTGGCCAATGGGCATCCAAAGATGCTTTCAGTACAAAAAAACCCCCCACACAACAGAGACAAGCAGGAGTGGAGGGAAGACTTCTGAGTAACAAGCAGGTCTCTCCCTCTGCCATCTTCTACCCAGCGCTAGGTTATGATCTTCACAGTAAGAGAGCCAAAGGACAAGATCAGCTCACACTACTCACAAGCAGAGGAGAAACAAACTCAGGCAGGTCTTACATTCGACTGCTGCTGGCCAACGAGCGGTCTCTTCCCTGCTTCTTCCGCAGCCATCCTTCCCACAAGAAACTCAGGGCGGTGCATCCCCATGTTACCCTCACAACAACTCTGTGACGGAGGATCGGCTGAGAGCGGCCAATGCCAGACAAGGAGATTCTCAGAAGAGTGAGCATTTGAACCCAGCGGTCCTTGGCTCTCCTGCTTGTTGTTTTGCATCATGTACTCTGTTTCTGCTAAATTGCTGGAAGAGGCACAGTAGCACAGGAGGCACCCACAGACCCTGTCAAATTCAATTCAGACACCTCTTTGGCTTCCAAAAATACCCTGCGCGGTGTCTGTGCACTGAACTGGCCCTGAGGTAAGGATCTGCAAGTGGAAGGCTCTGGACTCAGTCAACATACCTCTGAGAGGTATCATCTCTCCTCTCCTTCACTTATATCAGCCCAGGGGCAAAGGAAGGGCATGGCAATTTGTAGCAATGGGTCTTGGGGGAGCAGGCCATTTTGGGGGAGGGAGACACGGTGCCCATGCTTACCACTTGGAAGAAGAAGGGTTGATTTTTACACCCTGCTTTTCTATACCGCAAGGAGAATCAAAGTGGCTTACAATTGCCTTGCCTTCCCCTCCCCACAACAGACACCCTGTGAGGGAGGTGGGGCCGAGAGAGCTCTCTCGAGAACTGCTCTTGAGAGGACAGCTCTGAGAGAACTGGGACTGACCCAAGGTCACCCAGCTGGCTTCATGTGGAAGAGTGGGGAATCAAACCCAGTTCTCCACCGCTCTTAACCACTACACCATGCTGGCTCTCCCCACAACAGGCACTTTGTGAGGCAGGTGGGGCTGAGAGAGTTCTGAGAACTGACCCAAGGTCACCCAGCAGGCTTCATGTGCAGGAAGAGGAAGAAGAGGAAGAAGAAGGAGAATGTTTTTATACACTGCTTTTCCCTACCATAAGGAGTTTCAAAGTGGCTTACATTCTCCTTCCCTTGGACACCTTGTGAGGCAGGTGGGGCTGAGAGAGTTCTGAGAGAATGGTGACTGACCCAAGGTCACCCAGCAGGCTTCACAGGGAGGGGTGGGGAATCAAACCCAGTTCTCCAGATTAGAGTCTACTGCTCATTATATCAGGCTGGCTCTCAAGGTGGACGATCTACTCACTTCTTAAGATGGACCATCTAAGAAAATTAGCTGCCGACTGAGGCCCTCAAGCAGAGGTAGGAAAATTATTGTTCGGCCCACATGGACTTTCCACCTGCCCTAAAGCTACTGAGCCCTAACCGGGATCGCCCAGGCTAGCCCATTCATAGCCAGGGTCCAGCGTACCTAAGGGACCGCCTTTCTCCATATGTTCCCCCAAGAGCGCTATGGTCGGGGTCGCAGCACCTACTGGTGGTTCCCGGCCCCAAGGACATCAAGCTGGCTGCAACCAGGGCCAGGGCTTTCTCGGCGGCAGCTCCTGTCTGGTGGAATGAGCTCCCATACAATGTTCCCTCTAAGCTGTGGAGTCTTGTGGGCAAAAATTCTACTTTGTGAGCTACTGGCATTAAAGTTATGAGTGAGCGATTTGGCTACTGCATAAATTGGTTTGCTCTGGAGCCATCCTTCCTGAGCTGAGACAAAGATGTGTGAGCCGGAGGCTAAAAAACTGTGAGCTAGCTCACACTAACTCAGCTTAGAGGGAACACTGCTCCCAGAGCAGGTTCGGGCCCTGCGGGACCTGGTGCAGTACCGCAGGGCCTGCAAGACGGAGCTCTTCCACCAGGCCTTTGCATAGGGGCCGCCGCCGTCACTGTACCACCACCTAATTGCCATCTTTGACGGTGGATTAGATCTGGAGGTGAGCCGGCCCTGGGCAGACGCCTAGTCAACCGAAGAATGTAAGTTGTCAGGTTAGGTTGATGAATGGAACTCATCTTGGATTAGAAAACTTTAACATCAAGAGCACCGCACTTTATTTAATGATTTGTTTTATACTGTTTAATGATTGCTTTGATGTTGTTTTAACTGTTGTTATGGCAAGTGCCTCTGTTGTAGCCGCCCTGAGCCCGTTGGGGAGGGCGGGGTACAAATCTAATAAATAAATAAATAAATAAATTCTCATTAGATCGCAGAAGCTAAGCACTTGGATGGAGGTCACCAAGGAAGTCCAGGGTTGCTACGCAGAAGCAGGCAATGGCAAGCCACCTCTGAACATGTTGCCTTAAAAACTCCACGAGAGGGTGGCATGAGTGTTCCCTCTCAGGTGAGTTAGTGTGAGCTAGCTCCCAGTTTTTTAGCCTCCGGCTCACACATTTTTGTCCTAGCTCAGGAAGGAGGGCCCCAGCGCAGAGTCATTGATGCAGTAGCCACATCGCTCCCTCACAGCTTTAATGCCAGTAGCTCACAAAGTAGAATGTTTGCTCACAAGACCCCACATCTTAGAGGGAGCATTGGGGCTGTGACTTGATGGCACTTTCTAACACTGAGAGCCAGTTTGGTGCAGTGGTTAAGTGCGCGGACTCTAACCTGGGAGAACCGGGTTTGATTCCCCACTCCTCCACTTGCACCTGGCTGCATGACCTTGGGCAAGCCATAGTTCTGGCACAGCTGTCCTTGAAAAAGAGCAGTTTCTGTCAAGAGTTCTCTCAGCCCCACCCACCTCACAGGGTGTCTGTTGTGGGGAGGGGAAGGGAAAGGAGTTTGTAAGCCGCTCTGAGACACCTTTGGGTAGTGAAGGGCAGGGTATAAATCCAGTCTCCTCTCCTCAATCTCCTCCAACACTGCCAAAACCACTGAACTGTTTGTCAGGATTGTCAGTCTGGCAGACAGCAGCCTCGGCTACTGGGCTAATGCACCCCACAAATTCTTATACAGCTCAGAGACCATTAAGAGCTGTTAAGAATGGGAGAACAGGAGCCACATCTGATCGATCTGCTTTTGACGGTTCTGGGCTGGGATTATGGTTCTTCCTGGTTTCCGGTGCTGCTGTCCAATTCAGAGCTTTTCAAAGCTGGAAGAAACCCAAATGTAGCATTTGGGCTGGGAAAAAACCTACCCACCTGTGCCCTAAGAACAACTCCACACACACACACACACACTACTACCCACAGATATCTAACGATCCAAATTCTGCTTCTCCTCACAGAGCTCTATTATGCCAATACAACATGCTGGCTGCTCAGTGCTCAAAAGCCGCTTACGTGGTAACCACCTCTAAATGATAGTTATAAATGGAGTGAGGAATATCTGTGGACGCTGGATGGCAAGGAATCAAATGCTGTTCAGGCAGAGGTTATTGGCCCCTCAGCAAATAAAAGGTATTCCACACACACCAAATGTTCCACTTTTCAAGTAAATATAAAACAGCTGCTCTGAAAAGCGGTGAAGAGAACCTGCCAATGTTAGTCAGTGTTCTTCACACTTCCCTGGAAGCCAAAACTAAAAACTACCCCATTCCCAGCCAAGACTTGCCGAGTGGGGGGGGGGGGGGTCACATTCTGAAGGTTGCTTCTTACTCAAGGCTTTTAGAAAGCATCGTTCTACACCGCTCAGTGAAAGCGGGATGCGGAAAGAAGTTTCTGAGGATTGTGAACTTCTGGCTGTGATGGACTCCACTTTTTAAGAGGCTTACAGGTGCAGTACCAACAACGAAAGGACTGTGAAGGGTTAATTCCTCACACAGACGGAGAGCCTTGAGTGACAGGCTGCTCCAAACAATCCACTAGCTGAGTAGAGAAAGTCTTGTGAAAGCTATATGCTGAGGAGAGTCAGTCAGGTTCCTGCCTTAACTGAGAAGAGATGTGTACTGAGACCATCTGGGAATAGTTCTGACAGAAAATTTATTTAATTTATTTATTTCATTAGATTTTAGATCACCACCCCCTGCCAGGGCTGGGCTCAGGGCAGTGTACAACATAGTAAAGTTTGGTGTAGTGGTTAAGTGCGCGGACTCTAATCTGGGAGGACCGGGTTTGATTCCCCACTCCTCCACTTGCACCTGGCTGGATGACCTTGGGCAAGCCATAGTTCTGGCACAGCTGTCCTTGAAAAAGAGCAGTTTCTGTCAGAGCTCTCTCAGACCCACCTACCTCACAGGGTGTCTGTTGTGGGGAGGGGAAGGAGTTTGTAAACTGCTCTGAGACTCCCTTGGGTAGTGAAGGGCGGGGTATAAATCCAATCTCTTCTCTTCTTCTTCATAACATATATAATTTAAAGATGGTTTAGAACAAAAACCCACTAATTAACATAAAAGATGGCATTAGAGAATTCCAGTAGAACCACTGCTGCACGGGGGGTGGGGGGGGTGGGAGTGCCACAAGGATAAGACCATCAGTGTCCTCAACCAAATTCCTGGCGCAACATCTCTGCCTTATAGGCCCTGCAGAACTGTATCAAGTTTCACAGGGCACGGATGTTATTTGGCAGAGAATTCCACCAGGTTGGAGCTGGTCAAGAACAGCTGGACATCCCTCGGGCCAGGGACCACCAGTAAGTTCTGATCTACTGAGCTGCGGCCTGACTCCAGGGAGGGGATGGAAGGGGTTTAAAATTTAAACCCCCTCCCTTC